TTCATTCATTCATTCATTCATTCATTCATTCATTCATTCATTCATTCGTTCATTCATTCAACAGAAAGTTTAGGAGTTATCCTGGGTGGTTTTGTCTAAAGGTACTGTTTTTTTTAAAAAAAATATGGTCAATATTAACATACTATTTGAATGCAGATTTTATTTTGTTCAAGGGATCCTTGGTGCTCTATGAGCTTGCTTGTTTTCTTGCAAACGTTTCATTACTCTAACTAGGTGACATAATCAGTTTAACAGATTTAACAGATAATCAGAGTTGGAAGGGACCTTGTAGGTCATCTAGTCCAACCCCCCACCCAAGCGGGAGACCCTACACCATTTCTGACAAATGGCAGTCCAATCTCTTCTTGAAAGTCTCAAGTGATAGCGCTCCCACAACTTCTGAGGGCAAGCTGTTCCATTGGTTGTGCTAGTAAGGAGTGCTGTTTGCTGTCAGTTTATATTGGTGTCTTGCCTATCTGTGTGAGTTTGGGTGGTCTTAGAAATTCTTTGGTTGGGCTGTTTACTGATGGCTCTTTGGCAGTTTCTTGACTGGAGTATTGCTTACTTGATTGTTGGTCTGAAGCTAACTTTGGAGTTAATCTATGCTGATCTGAGTGCTGATTACTGGTAGAGAGGTGCTGGAGTCTTTTTCTCTTTTGGGCTGGTTGATTGTCTCTTTTGCATAGACTATAGATGTTGTTTATGTCTATGTGTCTATTGATGGCTGATTTGTCTAAGTGCCAGGATTCTAGAAATTCCCTGCATTTTTGGACTTGGCCTGGTCTGGGATTGTCAGATTTTTCCAATTGTTTCCTCTAATTGCTTAACAAATAATTATTTAAAAAGCAATGCGCAGAAAATCTACAGTTGCTGAATAGATAATAGATAAATAGACAATTATATTTGTTTTAGAGGATTGCACTGCAGTCTGCAAAGTTCAATATGTTTTACTTCAGAGTAATCATACATAAAACCAGAAAAGGAATATACTCCTTTTCAGTAGCATTTAAATGCTACTAAGGACAAATTCCTATGATCTATGTCAGTGGTGGCTGCATTTATGCATTCTATTTTAGTACCATACCATGCATAAATGAACTGCTATTTATTCTGCAGCTGTGCAATATGGGCATTTATATTTTCTGCAAATTATTTTAATTATTAGATAGAGTAGGAACCAATAACCGCATTACATAGTCCTACCATGGCACTTTTTACAATTGTCTTCTGGATCAACCAACTATGTGGAATAATGTTCCAACAGTTTTTCAGGAGTTTTGTTACCTGAAATTTATAAACACAGTCCTAAGCATGAGACAACACAGGCTGTTTTATTTTTGATGATCTAAATCATTAGCTTTCATTGTTACTCCAAATTTTACTTCATAGCAATAGAGATGTCTGACTGTACTATTCATTTTTGGCAGAAGAGATGAAAAACAGGAAAGGATGTCACTAGTATATATTTGTTCATGTGCCATTAAATCCCACAAAAACTCGCTTTTGCAATACTTCCAACTGCCAAGAGATAATTATTTCCCCCCCTGCAGTGAACAGCCAGTCTAATTTTGAGTCACACAACTTGAAGCACAATCTAAATTCACATTTCATTCAGAAATGGTTTTCCTTTTATCTTAATGCACACAGCTTATAGCAATGAGTTCGTCTTTTGCAATTTGAATGACAAAAAACTAGGAAAACATCATTGAAACTGAAACTATGTTATATTTCTAGGTCCTATTTCAATGCTTCAGGAAGGGAAAGAGAGCAACCAAGAGGAAAAAAAAACCCACTACTGGTAAATTTGCCACTGTAGTTGGTATCTGAAGCCATCTACTAACTTAAAAAAGGAATGCTTTAAGACTTCCTATCATTAATATAATTCAGCATGCTCTGGGAACTAAGTACATAGAAAAAAGTAAATTTGGACGGAGAATTTAGTTGAATTCAAATTTAGTTGAACTCCTTGGAAGATTCTAGAGCAGATATTGAAGTATTTGAACCATGAATGCACTGAAAACAATGTAATGGTTTTTAGAATTTAGCACGCATTGGTTAAGAACTAATTTTATCTCGATTTTCCATTGGATAACTTAGTAGACTATGGGAATGATGTAGACATAATATATCTTGACATTTTATTTGACAATTAAGTATGAGCTGAATTATATATCTATTGAGTGGATACGCAGCTAGTTTGAAATCCATGCTCAAAAATATACTCATCCATTGATCCTCATCAAATTGAGGGAGGTATCAAGTGGGGAGCCACAGGACTTGCTCTTAATCTTTTAAATCTTTTAAGGAATCAATTTTTCAGACAACACAAAATTAAGTAGGTAGCTAACAATCTAATTAAGAACTAGAATTCAAAAATAACATTCAAAACAATCTTGATAGACTAAAACTGGGCTTCAAATAAGAAAGTAAATGTAATGTAAATGTCCTCAGTTAATGACCACATGTTCAGTCATTGTTCAAACTTGCAACACTGCTAACTGTACTTAAGAACAGTCCTTGAAGTTCCAACCGTTGCAGGGTGCCATGGTGACGTGATCATGATTTCCATCCTTCCCTGCCAGCTTCCCACAAGCAAAAAATAAATAAATATTTATTAAAGTTTTGGGGAATAATGTCCAAACTAGCATTTATATTGCTGCAACATTAAGAATTCTGATTACTTAGGACTTCCGGTTTGTCGGCTTCGCGAGCGGCAGGGATTTGCGAAGCTGCGCGATCCCTGCCGCGCTAGCCGCTTCTGGGGCTCCGACCCAGACGGGTACGGAGCTAGGCTGCCCTGCAGGGGCAGTTGAAGGTAGGGGGGATCCGGAGAGGGGTTTGGGGGTGTTGCAGACCCCCTCCCCGGCCGGTAGAACCCCCTTTTCCCAGGACGGTGCAGCGGCGGTCCGTAATGGCCGCCACAAAGAAGCTGGCAGCCGGGTAAGAATGCGCAGGAGGAAGTGGAGAAAGTGCTTGAGAGGAGAAAGTTTTTCTTGGCTCCTAGGACTCTAAGACATATTTAATAAAATTCCTGAAAAGTATGACTTTCTGAATAATACCTGCCAGAAGAGGAAAAAAGCGGCAGTTTGATGGTGCTGAAAGGATAGCTTTCCCTCTTTTCCTACGGAATAAATAACTGGATATTAAGAAACCTATTTTTTTTAGGTGAAAATTGGTTTTAAGCGATGAGTGGGAAGAGAGAGGATTAAAAAGAAAATATTTGTATGCTAAGACTTTGTTGGAGGAGATGCCTTAAGGATTTGAAGACTAGAATATATTGCAATAAGATTTTAAACAGATTTGGACTTTCTTTCTCTTTGATTGATATTACCCCAGAAGGAGAAAGTGAGAACTCTGCCTTGGTTTGGACTGACTGATAACTTTGGGACTGCTTTATTTTTTTTATTTTCTTTTGAATATTCTGGTTGTTGTAAGAAGAAAGAAGGGGAAAAGAAAAGAAAAGATTTATAATGGCTCTTTCTGTTGAGGAACTAAGAAAAGAATATGAACAAGCAAAAAAAAAATGGTAAAGATGGTGTGGAAGAAGCTTTCCTTTTTTTAGAAATGGCGCTTACTAACTATCAACAAACATTACAACAGATGAAGACAGCAGAGGAACAAGAAAGAAAGGAAGGAGCCATTTTTAATGAATCTCAGAATTTGATCAAGAAAGAAGGAAGAGAGAAAAGAAGAAAACTAAAGGACTTAAGATCTAAAAAAACATTTAAGAAAGGGAAAAATAAGGTGCAAAACCAATATGATGATAGTAAACAAAAGGGAAAAGGAATACGACAGAGAAGGGAAGCTGGTAAGGCAGAGGCTAGAAGAAGGCGGGGTAGAAAGGTTTGTTGGGAGAAGAAAGAAAGGGAAAAGGTGGAGAAAAGCTACAATGTTTTGAAATTAAATGAAAAAAAGGAATTTTTTATGGATAATGGATAAAGTATAATTTTTTAAAAAAGATTTTGCAAGGTACATAAGATGAGATGGTAGTATTGTAATGGTTTAAGAGTTGATAAGAGATTAAAATGTTAAAATGTTTAAAAATGATTGGCTTTAAAATTTAATAATAGGGGAGGTTTAGAATACTGTTTTAATTAAAGAGTTTAATAAGATTATGGTATTGATGTTATTATAAAATTTTTATTATAGTATCTTTTTTTAATATTTGGATTTATTGTCTAATTATGTACTTAATTATTTTGGATGTACTAGTTAGATAGAATGTACCAAGCAAAATCGGATTGGGTATTGGATATTATTTTAAAGATTAATTTGATTAACTTAGGGGGGAGATAGAAAGGCATCATACTCTGATTAATGATTTCAGGAGAAACTTATTTTCTTCTTTTTTATAAGGAATGAGACAAAGGGATGATAAAAAATGGACAAAAGATACAAATATAATGATTCAAACTAAGATGATTAATTAAGATAGAATTAAGAAGGGTGAAATATGTGGAGAAGTTAATATAGAAGGCTTAGAATGGTAAATAAAATAAGTAATGATATGTAAGATGAGCATGAATATAATTGAAGTCCATGAAGAGAGAGATACCTGGGTCCAAGTTACTTTCCAAAAAGATTTTTTTTATGTTTTGTGTGTTGTGTGTATATGTTTTTTTTGGGGGGAGAATTAGTAAAAACTTGTAGAAATATAGAATGAGAATAATGGTAACTAAGTCAGAAAGAAATAGATGAAATAATAATAATGATATTGAATAAGAGTAAAGAGAAGTAAAGAGAAATTGAATAAGAGGTTTTGGTATGTTATATGGAAATGGTTTAAAACAGAATCATAATTTATCTGACTTGTTAAATTTACAATGAAAAAAGGTTTAAACATGTAATGAATAATGATAATTTGTGTGTTTTAAAAATTAATAAAACTTGTTTTTTTTAAAAAAAAAAGAATTCTGATTACTTATAAGTAAGTCCCACTGTGTCCAGTTATTTATTCCCTAGGAAATACATTGCTGATTGCCTGCCTTATTTGCAAAGATCCATTCATGTACATCTGACTGCATATTAATAGACAGTAAAAACAAAATCTTACCAAGAATAAATGTCGAGGATGCCTATTTTTCCCAGACACTTTCATTAATGTCCCTTCTTTCAGAAATATCTGAGAAAGAAAACAGAGGCACAAATACATCTTTTTTTTTGTTTACATTCAGTAGTTCAATAACTGAATCAGAATACAGACGCAACTCAAGGCACTCATTAATTGCCTTTTAAATTAAAGAGAAATGGTTTAATGAAACCGTAAAGTTTGCAGTGTCATATTGTACTGAATATTGATAAATAATCAAGGATATCAGATCTATTGAACTCAAATCTTTACTGGACTGAACCTCAAATCTTTACATAATAATGTTATATCAAAAAGAGAACTTACTCTTCCTGGTTGTAGAAGATTGCTCTGTCCCTTGACACTGTGCTCTATATGTACCAATTTCTGCAAATTTTCCTGTGGATAAAAAAGAAAAAAATAGTGTGGTTTAATAGAAATTTACTATATTTAATGCACATGATGTGCTTCTGTTTGAATGAAGGAAAGCAACTGAAATATAGCATCACCAGTCTCTATATAACATGATTAATAAATGAAGAAAATTCTAGAGAAATAGATTAGTGTAAGAATACAGTAAGTATGGGTCTTTGTACATATACAACTGCATCCACAAATAACAAACAGGTGAATTTCTATCTGAGATTGAGAAGTAGTAGGAAGAAATCATCAGTTATTGGTGCTGAGTTGTTGTCTACTATCACATATATTCAGGGATGGTATTCAGCAGGTTCTGACCAGTTCTGGAGAACCGGTAGCAGAGATTTTGAGTAGTTCAGAGAACCGACTGGCTTTGCCCCCATTTATTCTCTGCCTCCGGAGTCCCAGTTGATCAGCTGGGTCTTCTTTGGTTGCCCTGCACAGGAGAATGGAGCTGGAAAGGAGGTTAGTGGGATGGGGAGGGAATGGGCATTTTATGGGTATCCTTCCCCTGACATGCCCACCAAGCCATGCCCACCAAGCCACACCCACAGAACCAGTAGTAAATTTTTTTGAATCCAACCACTGCATATATTGTGTAATGAAGTGTTATGCTATGTGCCAAGATTTCTGCACTGAAATTATAGTGATCCAACTGAGATGAGAAACAAGAGAATTCTAACATAAATTATAAACCATAGCTAATTGTGAGAATTCAGAACCACAACACTTAGTTTAATTAATACAACTTCTCCACCATGCAGAACTTTCATACTCCTTGACAAGAATTCAGGTATACACTCTGTTGGGGGTGTCCAATCTTCCACAACAGAATTGCCAACTGTTTCACTATCCCTTGCTAATGTACCTCTAAAGCAGCTTGATCTGCCTCTAGCAGATGTTTCCTTCTTTTCCCACTATGAAAAGAGTTACATTGCTGTTTTTTTTTTTTTTTTTTACAGCTAAGCTACTGGTGTACCCACAAGAACAGTGTAGGACGTTTGTTTTTTGTTCAGTTAGATCAACACCCCTAAACTCCTGCCTTTAATGAGGATACCTATTACTTCTTATCAACACTGTGATACCAGGCATTTTCTGAGCATAGCTACCTTGTTTAGCTTTAAAAAGAGCATCATAATTGAGCCAGTAACATATTTAGTATAATCAGCTATGTGGCCATTAACTCCACTTCTTGTACAGTTTTTTTTAATCTGGTAGTGAAAAAAAATAAATAAATTTTTTTGCCAGGATGAACGGCAATTGCAATATCCTTTAAAAGGATATTCAGTGTGTCTAAGGGTTCTTCTACAGTTTTACTTATCTTTGGTAAGAGCTCTGTCTGCTACATATACTACAAAAGGTCTAAGCTGGGTTTCTTCAGAAAAGTATCTTTCTTTCTCCAACGCTTCCTGAAATGATCATTTGATCATAGATATTTATGGGGATGTCAAAGAAGGAAGCAGCAGCCCCTTTCGCAAGAGATTGGTGCACACTAGCTTTTTAAAGGGCAAGCATACTGAAATATAGTACTTGCCACTCTGTCCACCCTTGCACAGAATTGTTTTTGAGATGATCTCTCAGAGGAATTTGCGACAAAACTCTTTTACATCTTTATTTAGCACAACCATCTTGAATTTGTCCAACACTGGCTTGAAGGGACTAATGATTCTTTCCTCTTCTCCAAATAATTGCATATGAACTTACCTGTAGAAATCACATTCCTACTCGATGCACTATGGCAAGAGCATTAAGTGGTATTTGGGCTGCAAAAATTCAGGAAACCACTAGAGAGCAGCAAAGAGCTGGAAGTTTATGTATTGCTCTGCTGTCATCTAGTGCAAGGGTCTTCAAACTTGGCAAGTTTAAGACTTGTGGACTTCCACTCCCAGAATTCCTGAGCTAACATGACTGGAGGAGGAATTCTGGGAGTGGGAGTCCACAAGTCTTAAACTTGCCAAGTTTGAAGACCCCTGACTAGTGGCTCTCTGAGTTTCTGCAGCACAGATATGGTAATCCTAATGAAAGGGCAAAACAGGGCAGTGCAACATGGGGGATGTCACACTACATTTCTTCTTTCTCAGACTGAGATTTCAGATTAGTTAAACATTGGACCTACTAGATGAGTTGCCACTCAGGAAATTAGCAGGCAAAGAAGGTTAATCAGAGTTAGAATATGTACAGGCCCAAAGGTTTAAACTCCTTGGCATCCTGATCCAGATTGGATTACCCTTATTTTTTTTTAACAATGTCATTCATGGAAGTGTGAAGTCCATGGATGTCTTTTGCTTGCTTTGGCCCTATAATTATTGGGGGGGAGGGGTGTGTGGAGGGAAGCTATGCACATAGTTAAGATGTTCAATAGATTATACTGTTATAAATTGAATTTTAAGTGGGATTTTTTTAATGTAACATCTACAGTCACTTTATTTTTCATATAGTCAGATGTTTTTGGCTGCTTGGAACAGAAATAACATCCAGCTGTGTTGGATTTCTGGTGATTCACATTCATGTAATTTTCTTGGCAACAGTAAGCAATTGCTTCCTTCTGCATTTTTTTTAAAAAAATTCTCTTTCGCCTATAGTCCTGGGAGTTACCCAGCATTAACCAGGGTTTGAATTTGCTTCATTTTCAAAGCTACTCGGGCACTGCCATCTGCTGAGGCAGAAACACTCTACCTTGAATTGAACTTAACTTTTAATTTTCTAGAATATTTTTGTGACATTTTTATTTATCTTCCCAGTCTACATTTCACTTTCGGATTATGTGTTGGTGCCCCACCCATGTCTGCTCTTAAACTTTCAAGTCAGGCCAAGATGAGCAAACTGTTAGCTGTATCATTAATAGGATCAGCTGTATTTTTTTTTTTAATAACAGTTGTTCAGCTGTCATCCTAACTGGTAATAGTAACACATTAAATACACCATAAAATGTGGCCTCCTTTTCAGAGATCAGAATGCTCATTTACCAGACTCTCACTCTATTAACTATGTACCAATGTTGAAAAGTTTGGACACAATCAATGAGCACAGACGAGCTGTAAAATCTTGCTATCTAAAATAAAACTAATGAGACCTCGGTTGCTACTAAAGAGATAGGATTGGATGGCACATGGATACAAAAAGGATGAGATTTTAATGAATTACAGTCATTATATTCACAGCTTCGGTTCACTCTCGTAACATCTCAATCCTCAGGTCTCTGTTGTTTGATTCCTTTGGAACATTTTAATCACCCAGATGGTTTGCAGGAGCTGTAAGTCTATGTGCATGTTCAGAAGGCTCCTGCTAGCATTGCTAATCAAAAGGCACTATGCAGAGATCCCCTCCATGCTTCTTTAATGGGTCATTTGTGGAAAGGAGAGTGGGGGGGAAGGGGAGAGAGAGAGAAAGAGAGAGAGAGAATAGGAGGGAGGGAGGGAGAGGGAGAGAGAAAGAGAGAGAGGGGCAGAGAAAGAGAAGGAGGGAGAGAGAGAAAGAGAGAGGGAGGGAGGGAGGGAGAGAGAGAGAGGGGTGCTTTTATTTTTAGATTGTATGTAGGAATCTTCCACTTCCTATTCTCATACAAACAAAAGCTGGTCTATTCCAGATCTTTACAGGATGATTGCAGTAAACTGAGGACACAGATTGTTGGGGGCAATATGCTGACTCTGTAAACTTTTTAGAAAATGCTGTAAAGCATTACAAAGCAGTGTATTGCTATTGCTGTTGTCCAATAATCTTTATTTGGATTGCTCTAGATGTAGCAGTTGCTCTAGAGCAGTCATTGTTAGAAATCTTTTGATAGGGAAAGGACTCATTCAACAGGAGGAAACCATCTGAGGAATACAATAGAAATAGGACTGATTGATGAAGCTGATTGTGTGCCATCAAATTGTTGTCAACTCCTAGGAACCACATAAATAGATTTTCTCCATGATGATCTGTCCCTAACCTGGCCCTTCAGCTCTTATCACTACTGTAACAGAGTCTTCCCTGTTGCGGTGGTGGTTTTAAAATGATGCACCTATTTCATGGCCAATTTTTGGATGCTCCATCTCAAAATGGCAGGAACTGGTATCAGAAATCAATGGGGAAGGTAAACAAGGTTGTTGGTACACTGGTGAAGAATCAGCTACAGAACATCCTAGATGAAGCAGATTATCTGGACCCTTTTTAGTCAGTATTCAGTCCTGGAGATGTTTGGTCACATTAGTAGATAACGTTTGTCAGGATCTGGATGAAGGCAGTGTGCTTGTTCTAGTTCTAGTAAGTTTCTCAATAGCTTTTGATATCTTCTATGGCAGTTATCTGGACTGCCTTTGAGGATTAGAGGCATTATTTTTCAATGGTTCCACTCCTCCCTCAACTCAATGGTGATATGAGATGAGATTCTGGGATGCTGTAGGGGTTTGTCCTTGTTCTCCCTGTTTATCATCTACATGAAACCATTGGGAGAGGTCATGCATCGGTTTCTGGGTTCAATAACAGCAGTATGCCAATAATACTCAGCTTTATGTCTCTACCATGAGTAGTACTGATGAAACTATTGACCTGTCCTGAGGTCAGGAAGCCTTGATGAGGAAAAACATGCTAAAATTGAAACCTACCAAGGCACAGTTATTATTTGTCCGCTGGCATTCTCAAATAATTCACATGGCACATCTACACTGCAACTTAAGCTGCTTCAGTATTGTGGGCTACTACCTCCTCCCATTGGACAATTCCCCTGCCGTTGTACCCTCCCATTACTTTGTTCTAAAAAAATCAATAACCAATCACTTTCATTTCTATGGACAGACCTTACTGGACATAAATACTTTAATGTGTGTATAATAATATAAATTGTATACACAAAGTTAAAACATCAAAATGCACATACATTGTCAAAGTTGAATATACCATTATGTTAAGTCTCTTACGTGTTATTTCATTTTTAACAATAATCAAGATAGTGTTGATTTATAATTTCTGAAGTCAGGACTTAGCACTCACCCCTTGTTGTATGCTATCATTGGCTCTATCTGTAAGTTCTGATATGATGAGCAAGGCCGCTGCAATGCAATGGAATAACATATGGATTTATTATGAAATTTATAAAGTAAATTATATATTATTATTGCTATTATTAATTTTTTACTGCACCCTTCTATGTAAAGGGCATTCAGCATTCTTTCAGAACAATATCTTTCTCCAGGAGAACAAAGGTGTTTTTTTTAGCATAAATATATTGTTTATATTGTGTAGAAACCATCATAGTTTAAACATAAGAGTTGATCTTTTTATAATTTATTACTTCATTCTACAACCTAATTAATTCTACCTTTGCTGTTACAAAATAAAAAGAATAATTAGAAAGGATATTATAAATAACAGGATGATCTTTCCACATTCATTCCATATATATTACTACAAATATAAACTGCCTGCAATTAAGGTACTAAAAGTTTCTAATGTAGCCTCTCCCTTTCCATATTGTAGAAATAATATAATGAGATAAAATAAAAGTTCCATTCTAATTCTATAATCTCAAGAATCATAAAATGAAAGTTTCTCTTTTTAACTCTGAGATTTAAGTTTTCTGCTACGTATGCTTAAAAGCCTATTTCAGGCTAAGCTTCTCTTTTTTTGTCAATAGAGTTGATAAAGTTTGAGTCAGAATACATGTTAAGAGCCCTTTAAGTGGGATACTAGAGTGTGTGGAGTTTTCAGAAAAAGTCCTTATCACACATCCAAGAAATTATTATTTTCCTAGGTTCTTAATCATGAAGATAAAACCTACAAACTCAATAAAGACATTTAAAATTCAAAGTCATGCCCTCAATTATCAGAAAAGTAGGATTTAGCAGAAATTTTATTAAATAACCATTAGACATAATGTTCATTCTAGATAGCCATTCTAGAATGAAGTGTATCTAATTTAAGGAATTCTGGTTTCATTAACAATTCAAAATGAGTGGGTGGCACAAACTCAAAGCAACATGAGTTTTATCATTCCCAGCTCTGGGTAAAATGAGGTTGTTTAAAATTACCTTGTGTATCTTCATATTCAGCAGAATCAGGGCAGAGGTTATTCAAGTAATCTGTGGGGGGAAATAGGATTAAAAATGTGTAGGAAGTCTCAAATTATTTTGATCTGCTAATTAATGTAACTATAACTGTCTAAATAGCAGAGTTAAGATCAGTGTCTCAGGATGTTGCAGACCTTCTCCTCCATGAAATGAGATCTGGCTCCAGAAAAGTCAAACTCACCCTCTCTCTCCCTCTTCTTCCTTCTCATTTCCTAAACTTTCCCCCAATAAAAGAGGGAATATACAGTATATCTTCTGGATCTTTTTCTTCTTCTTCTATTAACTCCTTTCCTATCATTGTTCTGCTTGGCATGGCCCACAGATTCCTCACTAACTACCCCATAATATGTCTGCCAACTTTGTCTCAGAAACCAGCGAAAGGCACACATGGCTGACCTGAAAGGACGGACAATTTTATTAGTGCAACAATAACATAGTTCCACATAGCCTTCCTTCATAGTTTTCCCACATCGTGTTCATTGTTTGATTTTAAAAAGTGTAACAAAGTTTAATTGTGCATTTCCACAGAGCCTGAGACACTGGAATGCTTTTTCACACTGTTTTCAGCTTTAATTATACTGCTCTTCAGCCAAACTCAAAGTTAAAACTATTATTGTAAGGCTTCACATCAGGACTTGGCAATAAATCAGAGCTGCCCAGACATTTAAGTCCATATTCAGCACTTCGATTTTGTTGGCAGGAGACTCTTGGACACGACTCTTGGACATGCCAGATAGACATAGTATGGCAAACCAGAATGAAGCCTTGAACATAATGGCTGCCTGACCACTGCAATGCAAACAAATCACAGATGTTGTATATTGAATCTCTGATACATCTATCTATCTATCTATCTATCCATCCATCCATCCATCCATCCATCCATCCATCCACCCATCCACCCACCCACCATCCATCCATCCATCCATCCATCCATCCATCTATCTATCTATCATCTATCATCTAATTCTAATCTATCTATATACCGCCCATTTCACTTGAGTGCCATACACTCATATAAAAGGGACATAGATAAATAAAAAGTTAAAAATAGGAGTTAAAAACACATTTAAAAAATCAGACAGAGTGCCCTCAAGGGCAGGTTGATGTAATTGGTATAAGATGGGTCCTCAAGTAGTTGGCCTTATGAAGGGCTTTAAAGGTCTAACATCTTGAATTGGACCTAGGAGCAAATTGGCACCCAATGCAACCCACATAGCAGAGATATTACATGTGCAACCCTAGGGATGCCCAAAACTGTTTGTGCCACTGCTTTCTGCACCTGCTGCAGGTTCCAGATATTTATTCTTCAAGGATAGTTCCATGTACAGCACACTGCATTAACCCATGGAGATAACCAAGCATGGGAGACTGAAAGAAAGGCTTCTCAATTTAGAAAGAGCATAACTGGTGCACATAGTTGGGCAAAAGCCCTCCTAGCCACAACCGCCACCTGGTCCTTAATCAGTGAGTCCAGAAGGACCTCCAGATAATGCACTGCATCCATCTGGGGCAGTAGATGGAATCTGCAATCTCACCCAAAACCAAGGATGGTAAATCTCCAGATACAGAGGACCATTAAACTTTAAATTCTAGGTTTCTTCATCCTGCGCTTCAGAGTTAGTGGATACGTGGTCAGTCTCTGGATGGCCTGGAGTTGGTAGAGGTGGTGATTGCCCACTATGTTTACATCAAGTTTTCTCCTTGGCAGGATCAGCTCTTACAATTGTGATTAACCATATATAGGTAAATATAAACTAATTCTCAGCAGCATTCTGTTTAATCAGGAAGATCATACTTAGTGTTGAAACTACATATAGATACCATGAAGTAATTGATATGAGCGGCAACTTACATAGTCAATATAAAACTGATGAGGCACTCTGTTCCTTGTGGAGCTCTTTGGACTAGTTACTAAGTCACTCAGGGAAGAGCTGCTGCAATAACCAATTTGCAATATCTGTGTAAGTTATACACCAAGCAGTCTCTTGTGATTTGAGGCATTGCTTACCCCAGCTGATGAATCATTGTGGTTTACAATAATTTCTCCCAAATGTGCATAGGAAGTTAGAAATCCTGCAGCTGTAGTGCTTTGGCTATGCTGCAGTAGATTTTATTATTCTAATTTAGTAATACAAATGAAAGCAGCAGCATGGGGAATGATACAATGCTGGCATGTGATGAGGCAGCCTTTTAATGAGAAAAAGGGAATGTCTGTTGTTTCTGTATTCTTAGAGGAGAAAAAAGAGTTAAACCAAGAAAATAACTTAAAAATCCAGATGTCATTTAAGAAGCTTGTCTGAAATGAGCAAGACCAAATAGCTTCAAACTTAAAGATACTACTCTATGTATTTATAAGGACCACTATAACAGAATAACAGAGCTGGAAGGGACCTTGGAGGTCATCTAGTTCAATCCCCTGTTCAGGCAGAAAACCCTATACTGTACAATTTCAGACAAACATTTAGACACTATATTCCACAACAATAGTGGGTTAGTTATTGAACACTAAAGACTA